TCCGACTTTTATATGTAAAAATGCTTTAAGACCAAATATTATTTTCTTTCCGCTTCATAATTTTGCATCATCATTTCATCATCGTTGGTCAGACGAGCACATTAAAGACATTAGATTACAGTTTGGACAGTTTTTCGCTTTCTAGTATCCATTCACTTGTTTTGTGGCATCTTGAGCATCTCATCTTCTCACACATTCCGTTGAGTGTTGCAAAAAATGAACGCTTGTAAAACCTAAAGATGCAAACTCTGCCTGGGCTTGCCTTCCTCCTCTGCCAGTGTCCCAAGCACATACTGTCTATTAAAGAAGGAGCTTTAAACTTATACGATGGATGTGTCAGAACTTGTTTAGATGTTTTTGAGCTGGTAAAATATCGCTGGGATTGAAAAAAAAAGCAAACATAACCTACAAGAAATTTCATAATTGTAGATAAAAGTATCTTTTCTTTTTATTTAGACTCAAACTTAGGTTATTTAAGCCATCAGTGATATTTAAACAAATTTAAAGAATTGTTGGTACCCCTTATTTATTGAAAGAAAAACCCCCGCAATGCTCACAGATTGATTACAAGATTGTTGACACCTGTGACACTAATTTGTACCTTGTTTTATCATGTCTATTTGATTACACTATTTTCAGTCTTTCCCAGGGGTACTATCATTTATATATATATATATATATATATATATATATATATATATATATATATATATATATATATATATATATATATATATATATATATATATATATATATATATATATATATATATATATATACAAATATATATATATATATATTTTTTTTTTTTTTTTTTTTTTTTTTTTTAAGAATGTTTTTTTCTGTTTAAGCATGATTAACAAGCAATGGCTGACTTTCTTTGGTTAATTTTCATACATTTTGTATGTATTATTACTTTTGTCAGATTCGTATGTGATCATTGTGGGTTTTAATTGCATTAAACGTGGGGTACCAACCATTTCTTGCACTTGTCAAGGCAGGATTTTATAACAATTGCTCAGAAAAGGTGCGTAAGCATAGCAGCAGTGGCATTTTTTATACAAACTTAGCCAAAATGCAACAGAATTATACCCAAAATAAAATCTGAAACTATATATAGAAAAATAAAGGCAAAATGCAAATAATTGAAAGACAGGTGACTGGGCAAAATGGGGTGAGTAGGGAAGAAATATTGTATTGAAATTAGGGCTGAGCAAGTTTGCCAAAAATGAAAAATTGCAATTATATTTAACCAATAGTGTGGTTGCAATTTTATTGCAATTTCATTTTGCACTCACCACAAGCATGTAGCTGATTCCCCTCAGGGTTTCATTTATTCATGACCCTGAAAGTTTGCTTGTCAAGAGTCCATTGTTGCAGGACTTTGCTGTAACCATCCATCCATTTTCTGACACCCTTTAGCCCAAGTGGGGTCACGAGGGGTGCTGTTGCCTATCTCTAGCTTTCTACGGTAGAGAGGCGGGGTACACCCTGGACAGGTCGCCAGTCCATCGCAGGGCAACACAAAGACAAACAGGACAAAGAACCATTCATGCACAAACTCACACCTAAGGAGAATTTAGAGAAGTCAATTAACCTAACAGTCATGTTTTTGGACTGTGGGAGGAAGCTGGAGTACCCAGAGAAAACCATCACATGCTCAGAGAGAACAAGCAAACTCCATTTAGAGAGACCCTGGGCTGGGAATTGAACCCGCAACCTTCTTGCTGCAAGGTAGGAGTGCTACCCCCCTACTTTGCTGGCCTTAGTGCGAAAAGGCTCTTGTTCTATCATGCATGGATCTGCATGTTAGCTGTAACTTTCTCTTGCCTTCTGTGTGGTGGCAAACCCGCTTTAAGTGTATCATTACCATCTTAAGGGCCAGAGGTTGAAGTTTAGTGTGATGCTTACTCATTTTAAATGTAATATGGCTCAAATAGAGTACCTCTGCAGTTTGAAAATTGTGTTTTGCTAAACATTTTCAAATTAATTTAATTACCCAGCCCTAGTAGAAATTGAAAAGAATAACAACTTTGGAAGGTAATGTCCACACCCGGAGTGTTGGCCTAGAAGTTAGAGCACACTGCTCCCTGGGGGCCACACAATGGTAGCCCACTGATTCCCCAAGGGGATGGGTTAAAATGCAGTGAATTTTCCCACTGGGGGACAATAAAGGGATTTGCTTTTTTTTTATTGCAGTACATTGCCATTACTTGCAAAAGTGCAAAATTATTACAATTTTATAGTGAGTTGTATCTTACATTCCTGCTTTAAAGAAGCTGCCTGCATGGGTGAATGCCTGCCGGTTTGTTTGAAGTACTTCTGAGTACCAGCTGTGTCTGCACCAGACATTAGTCACAACAATTTCAATTGGCAGAATCAGATAGAGTTTTTCATGGAGTGACCTAGACCTAAATCAAAAAAGTAACTATCTGTGTAAAAAGCTGCTTGATTGATTTAATCTTGCTGTTTTCAAAATCATTGAAATCCTGTTAACAGGTGTTTTCTGCTTTTGGTCTGTTTGTTTTAAAGGAATGTTTTGGAGTTTAACAAGGTTGAAATAAAAGGAGGACTGATGTTGTAACTCACAGCTGAGGTCTCTGAACGTTCGACATTTGTCTAAAAAAAGAACTTGTTCATCATAAATGATGAACTTTTTGTCTCGTCTTCTAGTCATTCCTGTCATGATGAACTTTGTGAAAGTTCAACTTGATTTTTCCGTCATTCTAACTTAGTCAATTATCTTTATCTCTAATGAAACCTAGAGTTTTTTAGAGGACAGGTGGGCAGTAATATGGTATTTAAGCCATACAAACAGTAGAAACAAAATAGCTTTAAATTAGAGGTTTAAAATGTCTGCAAATTTGATGTTATCAGTGAAAAGACAGGTTATAGAAAATCTAAGATATCTAAGAGGTCATCCCTTTAATGCATATCTACATTGCTATTGAAAACGAAGAGATGTTGCCAACTGCAGGTTAGGCTGATGGAAATTCAATAAGAAGCTAAATTAGCTCTGACTGGCTGGTAGAGATATAGTGATACATAGAAAAAAACATGAGCCTGTTCTATTTTGTGCTCTTCCTTCACACCATGCAGCTAGTTTTCAGGAAAAAAAGGAAACAGTAAGTTAAAGAGGAGAAGGGTTCAGAAACCTGTGGTGCAGTGGTGATGGTCAATACAAACAAGAAACAAGAGAAGAGAAACAAATAAGGACCCAGTTGATACTAACACAGATTCAGGGATTTGCAGAGAAATAAGAGATGTTTTACCAGTTCTACTGTGTTCTAAGCTGATCTTTAGATGTTTGACTGAAACGTTTGCAGCTTTCCGTCACCTGTTCAGACTTGATGAGGCTAATATACTCATAGGATAAGTCCTTACAAAAAAAAAAACGTCATGTGTACAATGCTGATTCAGCAATGTTATTGTAAAGTAAAAAATATATATCTTTGTATTTATTGCAAAGGGAATTTTGTTCTGGTGCAATCTAGAGGGGAAAAAAACACAAATGGGTCATATTTCTTCATATTTCTAAGAAATCTATGGAAAACCCATGAAATATCTTAAATTATTTGCAACATTACAAGAATGGGTGAACATTTGATGTATGTTAGCAGAGGCCGAAGATGGATACAGCCTAAAATGAGATGTAGATACTACAGGCTAGATATTGATTTTTCACTTCTCCTTACATAGTCCCTCTTCATAGAAACTTAAAGTATTCCTTAAATAACAGCAGTTTTTGATTATATTTATCCCAGGGAGTGCAGCGCTTGAAAAAAAATCTGTTGGCTAAATGTGTTTCTGACAAGAGAACCTTTTAATGTACCACTATTCTTCTGCTAAAGTCTAAAGCAATATTTGAGCTACATGATGCATTCTAGGAACTATTTTCAGAACAGCAAAATAAAAAAAGGGTGAGAAAGATATTTTTTTGTTTTGTTGAAAAGAAAATCATAGAGATTCATAGAGAATCATTCATAGAGAAATGTAAATTATTTGCAGGATTGTGATGAGGAGCCAATGATCTTTAGTTCTACTCTGTCCTAATTCCTCTTCCTCTCTGTTGACCCAGTTTCTACCTTGACCTTCCATCAACAACTAAACACTGGGTGAAAGAAAAAAAAACTACCTAAAACAAACACCAGATTTTGTTTGGATTCAGCAAAAGCTGTTTCACGTTTTAGTTTACTCCTCTTTGGGATTAATACACCTTACATTAAAATTCCTTTTTTGTACTGATCCAATTTGCTTCATCTGAACGCAGGCAGAGGTTATAGGAAAATCCCCAGAAGCCTATTCATTTGTGTTGTTATGCTGGGAGATAACAGGCTTTGTGCAAATGAAGCTGCCCCACGAGCCCTGAGCAATAAACTGACCCGTGTAGAAGATGATACGTGGGCGCTGGTGTTTACTCAAGTGTTGCCTGGTATCCAGGTGACGGTTTCGGGTAAAACAAAAAGTGGGATGTGCCCCCTTGACAAGCCATGAGGTGAGCTTAGAGGAATGTTTGCAGAGAAGTGCACAGAGAGTTGCTTTGGGCTTGGTAACATTTGTCTGTGTACCCGTGCATTCCAGCATTAGGGCGTGTTATCACAAGTGTGTCTATGCGTGTGTGTTTTTGCGACAGTGCGCGTGCATGCACATGCTCCTGGTGTTTATTGAGGACAGCTCAGCCTCTGTGACCAGCTCATTAAAAGCCGTATGCTTGAATGATCCTTAGTCTCTTCCTCTTACCCTGTAGTAGTGATGATGGCAAAGCAAACGGGCCATTTTGCCCCCTGCATTGGCTAAATCACAGAAAGCTCAAATTTGGAGAGGAGAGATGAACTTCTCCTCTGGAGCATAGGTTGAGCTGAATTAGAGATATCTGCACAATGTTACCAATCCACGTTATGTTTACAGTCCTCCTTCCTTGGCCAACATATCAAAAGCATATTTTGAGTCATCCCTCGTTCTGTCTCCTCATATTTTGGTCTCTTCTTCCTAATTTCAGGTTAACAGTTACTCCACAAATGACAAGGAGAAACCTACTGAGACTTTATCTCACAGTGAATCACCCAAGGAGGATGAGATCTCTGAACAACCATCCAAACCTGACAGGTAGGTTAACACGTTTTATTGGAGAATATAAAGTAGTGCAGTGAGTACAGGTTTAACCTTAAGGAAGGTGATCAACGTTTTTTCTTTCTACAGCAGCATAAACAAGAGCCTCTGGTGAACTAAACTGTCCTAATCTTATATTTTCCAAGCCTGGCATTAGTTCGCCCCCTTGTGGTTAATCCAGCACATTGTTCATTTAGGGTACAAGCATCTACGGCCAAGCCGAACATGTAAAAAGAATAAAAAATGTATTAATAAAATCAAAATTTTAGTCAAAGTGAGTTTATTTGTATGGAATCACTGAAATAAACGGTAATCAAAAGGATTTTTTTAAATAAAGCAACAAAATACATTCTATGATATAAATAAATACATTAAAAGAATAAATGGAAACCTTTATATTCACATCACATAAAAATGGAGCAGAAAGAGTTTAATTTAATGCAGATAAACAGATGAATATATTTTTCAAATAAATGAATTAAATGATATAACACCTTTTCTAATCAACGGCAATGTTTCTTAGAAGCCAGTAGTTTATGCACATCTGCTTCGTTAAAGAATCGCTTTCAAATCTTTAACTAAGTGTGAACAGTAAAAAAAAAAAAAGGTAAATAACAGCTGGGTTTCTCACATTTTCATGTTTCTTAGCTTAATTTGATTTATCCCAGTAGCACTGACCTCTGTTTTTGGAAAGAAACAACTTTTCATTATCTGGGTGTATAAAATAATGACTTTCTCCTTAAAAAAGGAGGACATTTGTTGCAAAGCTGTTCTACTTTATTTAATCCATCTCCCCAAAAAACATGAACAAAAATAATGCAACATCTGTCATTGTCCTTTTCATCCACTCAGCCCTAATGAACTTTCATTTATTCTTTTCAGTCCAACATCCATCCCTGACCCACTGCCCGATGTCTCCACTGTTAATGATGCAGATTCACAAAAAGAAACAGACCTATCTCCATTCCCTGAGGTTGGAATCATGCTTTTTCTGAATCTCTCTGAGTTTTAAAGGATTTCCTTCTGCCACACTTAAATGTAGAGGGGTTATAAAAGTAACTATTTCCATTAATTTATATTTATGTATGTTTGTGGCTCTCCGCAGATCTCTACTCCGCTCCTTGACACCAGCAACCAGAGATCCAAAGCACTTCTGAGTAGGAGGCGAACACGATCGCGGCCATCTCGTTCTCTCCGATTAGGGTCGATTAAAAATGCCAGAGCAGAATTGAGTGTCTTTGATGGTAATGGTTATTACATTATATCTATTGTACTATATATCTTTGTGTGTTTTGTTTCTTTGTATATTTTAACAGATTTGTTTCCTTGTCTTCAGGTGTAAAAGGGGATGAATCAAAAGAAAACGAGTCGGACTCTGAAGAGGAGCCCCCCAAATCGAAGCCAGTTTCTTCTCCTCCAACGTCGACTCAGAAAGTTCCTATATTTCCAGGTCTGAGCCCTGCAGCTCTGCTCGTAAGTGAACTTAAATGTTCTTTATTCTTCTTTATCTAGATGAACATTATAATGTAAAGTATATGTAATATCTCAGGCTGGGATAAAAAAGCGAACCGGTGGAGGAGCAGCTGCAGCAGAAGAGGGATCAGCAGATGACAGAGGAGGACAAGAGAAAGAGAGTAAGGAAGTCACTCCATCTCCATCACAAACTTCAGGATCTCCTCGCTTGCCGGCACATCTGGCAGGTGCTGCGCGGGTGCTGCCCCCTATGGGCAGCAAGGAAGGAAGGTATGATTCCCAGAGAATGACAAATAAAAGATCTAGATCTCGTAAAGAATAAAGATTCAGAGAAACCTATTAAGATACTGATTCTCTGCCATCAGCCCTGCCTCTTCACCTGCCTGGTTAAAAGAACTGAAGTCTAAGAAGCGAATGAGTCAGCTCAATGGCGAAACTTAACCAGACACAAGTAAGTTGCAGTGCCAGTCAGGAGATTACATTAACTCATCAGGGATGTGAGTCATGTTCATTTTTTTTACTTCAAATTAGTCTAATTCTAAGGTAATCATACAATAGCTTACTTGCTTTGGAAATATTAATTGGATTCCCAAATTTGAGTCTATTGTAGATTTTCTCTAATTTAGGTCCTTTTTGTAACCATCAGTTTGTATCAGCTTTATTTGATAAGAATGGACCCCGGATTTTTCTGTTGCTGTTGTAAGAGCTACAAAGAAAAACATCTTAGAGTTGTATGGCTTAAACATGTGTATAAATGTACTCTTTGTCAGAACATATTGTCCCAAAAGTTAGAAAATTTCTATTTAAAAAAAAAATCCTGTCCCAAAATCTGTTGGGTTTTTCTTTTTTTTTCCCGTTATCTTATGCAGGCCAGTTATTTATACGTCAGCTTGTTCACCTAAACTCAGCCAATCATATATCATCGGTCATCTGTCAATCAAATTTTTTCGGTCATAGCATCTCGATTTATATGTTGCAGCTAATATATGCAACGGTTGAAATAAGAAATAACAATCATGTCCTTCACCATTGAGTTCCATCCCAGTGTTCATGGGGATGGACGTCTGTGTCCTCAGCAGGCGTAGAGCTAACAGAACTGCCAGCTTTACAAGGCAAGGGCTCAAACATGTACGGCTGTAAGCCTTCTACACAAACCAAGCTTCTGCTGCCCTGGCGTCCTCTTCCACAACATCTTTGTCCCCCCTTTTCTACTCTAAATGAAAAATATATGACGGAGGAGACTCATCCGCGACCTCCGACATAAAACTCTCCTCCTCTTGCATGTTTCCGCTGTCCATAGCGTTCCTTGTTGTTTCTAAGTCACAAGTTTAGTGCTACTTGGTCCCAGTGTGATTTCCCATTGGGAACCTACTGGCACTAAGTTGCTAACTGATTAGCAAGATGCTTCCAACAAACCGGCCACAACCAAAAAGCTTGCGAACCTTCCGCGATCACAATCCCGCCCCCTTGATAATCGACCAATCACATTCACTTTATTCACTGGTGTAAAGTCAAGCACCACTCAGGAGAATTCGGAACTGCAACCGTTGGAACAGCCGCTTCCCTACGACTTTAAATTTAAAACAAGAACCTTTATTATAAACAACCTATTAAAAAAGTTTGATTTTTAAGCCCTACTTTATCGTCATCAATGCTGAAAAAGACTGAGCTTGATATGATCTAAGGAGAGAAGAACTTTGTTGGTATTTATCCCTCTTCCTTATTTTACTCTTCCTGTGAAATGGTGTTATGCTGTGCTAAACATTTGGTATTATGCTTTCTTGTTGGTGAGCATTAAATTATGTTTATCCATTTCCAATCGCCTAATCACCACTGACACATTGCAGACAAAAAAAAGTGACAGTGATCAGGAATAATCTAGTAACCACCAAAAAAAATCAGCCATAAAGGAGAGGCACTGTTCAATTATCAAGCATGGCGGTGGCAGCATTGTGCTGAGGAGTTGTCTGGCTGCCACTGTTTCTGATGGATTGCACTGAGAGGATCCACTAGTTATCTTTGAATATTCTTAAATTAAATAAATATTAAATTAAATTACATTAAATAAATATTTGGTGCGCAGAAAAACATTTGATTTTGCAGGATTATAATCTCAAACACATTAGCGCTGGCTTAGAGAAGAATGAGGAAAACGGTTATTTTGCATCAGTTATTAAATTATCTGACCAATGATTTATAGATTCACACTAATTTATTTATAGATTATAGATTTATAGATTCAGAAGGTCGGCCAAATTATACAAGCTTTAGAAATCCTGCCTGTTTAACAACAGAATTCAAACTTTCAGCCAACTTTCTTCCAGAAGCTCATCGATATCTTCATAAAGCTTCTGGTCCAAATGCTACACTATAAATCTCATTCAGGATATACGTATATTTGGACAAGTGTTGATTAAAGACAATGTCTAATAATTGTTCACTTTTATGCTTCAAAGATCCTTAGTTTATCATAGGGATGCACGATATAATCGGCCCCCCTATCGGTATCGGCCTGTATCGGCCTTAAAACTGAATATCGGACATCGGCCACCCTACCGATATTTAACCCGATATTTGATCGATATTTGAAAAAAAAAAAAAACTACTTCTTCTTCCTCAAAAACTTCTTTTTTACAGACTTAAAAACTTCTAAAGATGAGGGAAAAAATATTGATACATTAAAATATCACAATATCTTCATATGCTGATATATTGCCATTTAAAAACACCATATCAATCTTTTACTAATGAAATATTGCTATATGTCATCGTTATTCTACGAAATCCCCCAAAAATTCACGAAATTTTGCCATATTTTTATATGTTGATATATTGATGCGGTATCGATCTATTTAACTAACAAAATCTCACAAGAATTTGCAAAATATCACGAGAGTTTGTAACAGAACGATGAAATTTCACGAGATTTTGAAAGTAAAATAGATCGATACCGCGTTTTTAAAAATCAATTTGATATCAGCATATGAAAATATATTTGAGTATATTATTTTTCAAAGTGTCAGAAATGAATAACAAAACTGCTATTTTCAATGACTACTTATTTTTGTCCAGCTTTAACATCGGTATCGATATCGGTTATCGGCTACATAAGTTTTAAAATATCGGCATATCGGATATCGGCCAAAATCCCAATATCGTGCATCCCTAGTTTATCATCTTTTAACACCTAACCTTTATGAAATACTTTTTGAAATGCCTAAAACAGAAATGACATCCAAGTCAGTACTGTGTATCTGTAAATCCTTGACGACAAACATGTTTAGTTTATTTAAAAAAGAAGAAAGTAGTTGTTGAAATCTATGGATTGTTTTATTTGAGCATTTCAAGGTTTTATTTCAATTTTATATCAATTTTATTTATACCTTGGGATTACTAGCCTGACGTAGTCCTACTCAATTCTAGTCAGAATATGAGTCTGATACTGCTCCATAGAGCTGTGATTATGGGGCGTGTTTTGAACGAACCAGGGAAAAAAATGCCTCTGCACTCAATTGGATAGACCTACAACCAATAAAAGCAACGGAGTGAGTGACGTATGTTAAGCCAGGCACAGTTGTTGTCAACAAAAATCAAAGCGTGCAGTTGCACGCCTAGAATAAGAAGATGAGCCTTGATCGCGGTTCTCTGTTCCTCTTTTAAAATTAATTTGTTGTCGATATCTTCTAGAACAGACCTAATAGCAGAATCTACACACCTCAGCTCTCCAGCGGCAGCCATTGTTGTTGTCACGCATGCGCGCTTTGGTCACGTGGTTGATTACGTTACTGTTGATCATCTGTCCATCATCGTATAAAGCCCGCCCTGACAATTTGATTGGATTGCCAAATATTGTGCTACCATACTTGCGCTACTATGGAGCAATGCCAGACCGAACTTCACGACCTCAAATGTTGTGGGCGGGACTAAGTTCGGAATGGCACCCAGGCTATGGGATTACAACTTCTCGGAAATTCTGGTTCCAGTAGCGTATGTAGAGTACAGAGAGTTAAAGCAAGATACAAATTAAGCCTTTATAGCAGGGGTGTCAAACTGGTTACAGAAAGGGCTGTGTGGCTGCAGGTTTTCTTTCCAACCAAGCAATAGCACACCAGACTCCAGTCAATCCTCAAGTCATCAGGTTAATACTAAACTCACTTGATGAGATGATTGGAGTCTGGTGTACTATTGCTTGGTTGGAAAGAAAACCTGGAGCCACATGGCCCTTTCTGGAACCAGTTTGACATCCCTGTTTTATAGGGTAGGTTAGCATTTTTGATCACTTGCATACCCCTTACAAATGGAGTCCCCCCCGTCCCTCAGTGAGGTCTAGAAGCACAAGATCTATATCCAGCCATTAAGCAAAGATACTGCTACATGGCTGTACATCTTATTTTGGCATTTGACCAATTAGCTGAGCCCTTGAATGATATATTACCTACTGTACATTCAGCAGAAAAAAAAAATTTTACAAGTCAAGAAAAAAAGGTAAACAGCTCATTGAAAAGTTAAAAAGTTAATACGCTTAGTTAACAATTCTATTTAGGTTTATAAACTAAATGTAAATGTAAGTGCCAGTATCAGCATTAATGCCTCTAAGCCTTAGGGTATCTAAGGGTCTGCAACCTTTCATATCCAAAGAGCCATTTTGCTTCAAGCACGACGAAGTCGCAGTTGTTTAGAGCCGCAAAATATAACAACACTTTACAAAAAAACAAAAAACCTATTTATTTTTTTTATTATATAAAGGAAACTTTAAAACAATATTAATACACATAATTCCTACATTAATTCAAAGAAAAATTGCTCTTCAAACAGATTTCTGGTTCTTTTAATATCATTCATTAATTCTGGTATTCATTATAGTACATTATTTAGCTCTTTTCTAACATTTTAAGAGCCGCTTGAGATGATCCAAAGAGCCACATGTGGCTCTGGAGCCGCAAGTTGCAGACCCTTTGCTCTAAGGTGAAGTACCAAAAATAAAAATAGTTTTTCATGAATTTCTTACAGAAGCACCTTTGTTGGATTCCAATAAAACTATTGGCTTGAAATTTTGATTTTTAAAGTATTTCACTGAGTGTCCTATAAAGGGCTAAAGATAAAAATACAACAGGCAATATAAAAAGAGAGTATATAGTACCAAAAGGTCCTGGAACATGTTTTCTTTAGATATAAAATATCCTTTAGAAACTGACATTAAAGCTTTTCTGTTCTCTTTAGGAAGCACAGCTTAGATGCTCCTCAGCAGGAATCGGATCATTTCAGCTCTTTGCTGATGGCACAGATGACGACATGATTGCTCCATTCTGCACTTTGAGTGCCTTATTTTGGACCATTTCCAAGGGAAGAAATCAAGCTTCTTCTTTTTTTTTTTTTTTTTTTTTGGGGACACGGAGGCTAAAAAAACCTGTGGTTTGTTAAACATGGAACACGGTGCCAATGCTATATGCGCTGAGGCTGTAAGGTCTTACTGCCAGGTAGAAAACACTGTCCGAGAGTTCAGTGGATGTTTGGGTTTACTTAAGTAGATTTTGTTCTAATATGTGAATATGATGACATGGATGATGGATTTATGATTTTTTTTAAACTAAAACATGTTTCAGTTTTTAGTCCTAATCTAACATTTACAATCAAATGTGTAACACAAAATCTAAGGCTAGATATGACGCCTCTTTTGAAACTTTTAGAAATTCCTCCAGACGTCGAGGGAATCAGACATCATCAAACCTACTGTAAGCAGCGTCCCGCATAACTCAGAAATACAAAGACAAATGGAAAAAAGCATAGAGATGTACAGAAATATGTGTATTTAGTTTAGATTACACAGGTTGGTATTTTTGTACCCATTACACTTCTTCTCAAGGAAAGCTTGAAGCACTTTAACACAAATATTAGTATATTTCCACCCATGCAATGAAACTGACCAATTGCAAAGTCATGTTTGTTGTTTTTAACAAAGGTCAGGGAGTCTTTTTGTTTTGTTTTTTTTTACAAATTTGTCGGTTTCACAGAAGTCACTTCATATATGTATTTTTTCTTTGGGGCAATAACAGATTCAGGAAGTGTGTAAGTATATGTTTGTGTGTTTTTGAGTTTTTTTTTTAAACCTAGTAAACAATGTGCCTTTTCTATTACTGGAAAAACTGTATGTTAAGAATTGTGTGACCATTTTTGGTCGTTATAGTGTATGTTTATTGGAAAATGGGGGAACTTTATTAAAAGTTTTTCTTTTCTAAGAAACGAGTTTGAGTGTTCTTTTGATCTTAATGTAAAAATTTTCCCTTTTTTGTGAAAGAAATAAAAGGGTCAAAATGTTTGAAAACTTAGTGAAACTGAAAAGATAAAAGTTGAAACTGAAAAAATATAACTTGATGTTGAATATCAGATTTTGACCTTATAATCTGAGAAGCTGAAAGTCCTCAGGTCTCCATTGGGGATGAGGAAGTGAGGGAGAGTTCAATGGTCACAGTCCCAGTCCAGTGTGTCCTTTACACCAGTTCTAGTCCAGTATGAGGTCTCCTTCAGGAGAAGCAATCGCTAAGCTGAGACCATTATTTCCTTCTTTCATCTGCAGAATATTGCAAAAATTAGACATATCCTGTCCAGAGGTGATGCTGAGCAACTAGTCCATGCATTTATTACTTCATGGCTGGACTAGTGTAATTCTTTACTATCAGGAAGTCCACAAGCTGTAGTTTAAAGCCTTCAGCTGACCCAAAATGCTGCAGCCAGTTCTGATGAAAACTAAAAAGAAAGATAAAATCTCTCTTATCCTAGCTTCTCTTTATTGGCTTCCTGTTAAATCCAGAATTGAACTTAAAATCCTCCTTCAGAGTCACAGGACACAGACTTAATTTTAAAATATAAGAAACCTACAAGAATTAAAGCAAAAAATAACAGTAAAAATCAGAGTAATAATTATTTTTGAAATATAACTATTAATACATAGACTTCGGTTATTAAAGATATGTAAGAAAATTTTCTAAATTGGATTATGCTGCTGTGAAGGAGGATGATCACTGATGCAGCTTAAAGGGAAACCATCCATTTTTTCCGGGATGGATGGAATTTAAACTGTACATTCTAGGGATACTTGATATATTTACTTTGGAATCGGAATCGGCTGTTATTCATTTTTTCCTTATACATTAATGTACAGTGCTGTCAAAAGTACACACATTTGTTACTTAAGTAGATAGTAAGTATAGATACTTCAGTTAAAAAACACGCTGGTAAAAGTTGAAGTATCAACTTGACCTCCTTACTCAATTAAACTGAAAAAGTATGCACTCCAAAAGCTTCCTAAAGTATAAAAGTATAAAGTAACCTTTAAAAAAATAACTAGATGTCACTATATATATATAAATGCACTAAAAGGCATCTGTATAACTATCTATAAACATAAATAGCAGTGTATTGTGGTTCTCTTGTGTTTTCAACAAAAAGAATAGCATTCAATAAATAAATAAATGTTTAAGCTAATTTTTGGAAAATAAAAAAACCTAATGAAAGCGTTCGGGTGGACTAACTATAGGTCCATCAGCCACCACCCTTAGAGTGTCCCCACCAACTTTCATCACTAATAAGTGACACCCTAGGTGAAAAACTGTTGAAGTGATTCCCTACTAATGTGTTTTTAGCCAAATTTGTCAATATTGATCTCAACTGTGTATTCTGTAATACCGAGTTTGAGAAAACGGCTCGCCAGCTCCCGTTGTTATGCCCAAAAGTGCATGCCTGCCGAAATATGCATCCCCAGTCGCGGGAGCGCGCCTCGCTCTGTTGAACTGCATATCGACGAGGAAAACGGATTAAAATATGTTCAATGGAGCTTAGGTTCTTATATTAATGATATAAAAACGTTTAAAAATACCTCTCGTTGGAAAAAAGTTGTGGTTATTTGGTAGATTGATTTACAAAAGTACGGATTTTTTGAACAACATTAAATCCAAAGATTTTGACCATGGTACGGCTGATTTATTTGTTGTGGTCTCTTGTTATTTACACACAACACTAAACCGTGATAGCCGACGTGAGTTTTGAGTTTGCAAAGCTTTCCCTTAAGTGGAAAATCAAACGCGCATCTACACAGCACAGCGTTCACAGACCAGTGAGATGCGTTCGCTGCGCGTCAGAAAGCTATGGTGCATTCAGGAGCATTGGAACATTTTAAACTTACAAGAATGAGGCATAAAACAGAACTGTATTTTACTGAACTGTACTGTATTTTTTTTTTTTTTTTGTTTATGCACATTGCTAGCTTTTTATTCTAAAAAATCTATAATATTACAGCAGCAATTTATCAAAGTTTTTCAAAATCCTGTTTAAAAGCTCCAAATGGGGCTTCAGATCACATGAAGCGACAATTGCACTGTCATTGTTTTACAGGACAGAATTTGCATTTGCAGACGTACAAGTGTCAACTCCTCTGAGATAGCAGGGGATGCAGTTTTTGGCAAGGACCTGCCACAAAATGCATCCTCCTTGTTTTTAACCTAAGAATTGTCCCACACACATGAAATTCACACTGGTACCTCAGCACACATGTGGAAGCATGTAGTAATAGCTGCGTGAAGCTGACACCCCACCCACGTCAAAAAACTCTGCAAATAGACTGAATGGTTAGTGCAACGTTAGGGCAGATTTGTGCAGAAAAAATATCGTTTGTGCTACTTTTGTTTAAGAGATATTAAAGATGATTTTTTTTAGGTCATCCAGAGGTCACCATCCCCCCATTAAACTCCAATTTGAACCAAAGTGGTCTCCTTTTTAGTGCTTCGTTTGTGCTGATTTGTGCAGTTAAAACGGTCATTTGTGCTATTTTAGTTTTTAAGATATAATCATTAAAAAATGTTTGGCTGATGACATCACCATCCCCCCATCAAGCTCCGATTTGATCCAAAGTGGTCTCATTTTTTAGTGCTTCGTTTGTGCTGATTTGTGCCGTTAAAGCCAACATTTGTGCTGCTTTACTTTTTAAGATATAATAAATTACCATCACCAGCAGGTTCAAAACAAACTGATGCGCTACGTTTTTTAAAAAACTGTATCTGTGTCTTACATAGAACATCCATGTTGGCTCTTTTTCATTTATCAACAATAACCTTGGAATGAAAAGTTTTATTAAGATTCGCAGCCCAGTAATACTGTATGTGCAGACTGCTACGTTTTTAATATATAGTTTATGCTGAGCTCATTTAAAAAAAAAAACAAATTGCTCTACATTGTTAGTAATTTCTAATTCTTTAATTAAGCCAATATATTAATTGTTGGACAATATTTCCCACTCCACGCATGAAGCTAGTAATGAACTGGAGAGGACCTTCAGCCTAATTGAACCTTTAGCTTAAACAGACAAACATTTTTGGATATTGTTCCTTACAGATGGTGTTTTACTTTATAGTCTAACCACAGTGCTATATTTTGTTATACTTTACTACTAGCCTGAACACTAGCTCAGTGTTCTTGCGCTCAGTTTCATCTCTGCGCGTGCTCGAATCCGTCTCTGCTCGCGCTCGACCTGCTCTCTCCGCGCTCAACACCAGCTGTGAGCTCGACTGTTTTTCCGCTCGCTCGACTCTCTGCGCTCGCAACTTCAGCAATGTCTCCATAGAAAAGAAGAAGAAATAGGAAGGAATGCTTTCATTGGATGAAAAGAAGCTGGGTGTGATTGGCTGATGGTATGGTTCATTTACATACAGGTGCTGGTCATAAAATTAGAATATCATGAAAAAGTAGATTGATTTCAGTAATTCCATTTAAAAAGTGAAACTTGTATATTATATTCATACATTACATACAAACTCATATATTTCAGATGTTTATTTTGTTTAATTTTGATGATTACAAATGACAACAAATGAAAATCTCAAATTCATCATATCAGAAAATTAGAATATTGTGAAAAGGTTCAAAATTGATGGCCCCTGGTGCCACACTCTAATCAGCTAATTAACTCAAACCACCTGCAAAAGCCTTTAAATGGTCTTTCAGTCTAGTTCTATAGGCTACACAATCATGGGGAAGACTGCTGACTTGACAGTTGTCCAAAAGACGACCATCGACACCTTGCACAAGGAGGGCAAGACACAAAAGGTCATCGCTAAAGAGGCTGGCTGTTCACAGAGCTCAGTGTCCAAGCACATTAATAGAGAGGCGAAGGGAAGGAAAAGATGTGGTCGAAAAAAGTGTACAAGCAAGAGAGATAACCGCACCCTGGAGAGGATTGTGAAACAAAACCCCTTCAAAAATGTGGGGGAGATTCACAAAGAGTGGACTGCAGCTGGAGTGAGTGCTTCAAGAACCACCACACACAGACGTATGAAAGACATGGGTTTCTGCTGTCGCATTCCTTGTGTCAAGCCACTCTTGAACCACAGACAGCGTCAGAAGCGTCTTGCCTGGGGTTAAAGAGAAACAGGACTGGACTGCTGGTGAGTGGTCCAAAGTCATGTTCTCTGATGAAAGTAAATTTTGCATTTCCTTTGGAAATCAAGGTCCCAGAGTCTGGAGGAAAAGAAGAGAGGCACTTCATCCACGTTGCTTGAAGTCCAGTGTAAAGTTTCCACAGTCAGTGATGGTTTGGGGTGCCATGTCATCTGCTGGTGTTGGTCCATTGTGTTTTCTGAGGTCCAGGGTCAACGCAGCCACATACCAGGAAGTTTTAGAGCACTTCATGCTTCCTGCAGCTGACCAACTTTTTGGAGATGCAGATTTCATTTTCCAACAGGACTTGGCACCTGCACACAGTGCCAAAGCTACCAGTACCTGGTTGAAGGACCATGGTATCCCTGTTCTTAATTGGCCAGCAAACTCTCCTGACCTTAACCCCATAGAAAATCTATGGGGTATTGTGAAGAAGAAGATGCAATACACCAGACCCAACAATTCAGAAGAGCTAAAAGCCACTATTAGAGCAACCTGGGCTATCATAACACCTGAGCAGTGCCACAGACTGATCGACTCCATGCCACGCCGCATTGCTGCAGTAATACAGGCCAAAGGAGGCCCAACTAAATACTGAGTGCTGTACATGCTCATACTTTTCATGTTCATACTTTTCAGTTGGCCAACATTTCTATAAATCCTTTGTTTTTATTGGTCTTCAGTAATATTCTAATTTTCTGATATGATGAATTTGAGATTTTCATTTGTTGTCATTTGTAATCATCAAAATTAAACAAAATAAACATCTGAAATATATGAGTTTGTATGCAATGTATGAATATAATATACA